CTCCATGCATTCACAATGCATGCGTAGAAACAGTGTATCAATACCTCTAGATGTGGCCTCTGCTCCCTGGAGGCCAGATGATATTATAGAAGGCTCATTAAACCTGGGACTGTGGCCAAGGGTGTCATGAAACCACAGGGTAAACCTACAGCATCTCCCAAAATTGAGGGGAGGCTAATCTGGATATTACTGAGCAGGAAACAAAATCGCTAGGAAGGTTCACAGTAAAACTGCACCAGCCAGTGATGTGAAGCCACTTGAAGCATGACCCCTATGGCATGCATTTATTTTCCTTGAATATGAGAGAGTCTTTAGAAGGAACATTTTAAGAAGCCATCTTAAAGCCACTTTTAAGCTGTCTAATCCCGGCATGATATTTAATCATGAGTCTAATTTTCCCTCTGTGAGAAATGTCACTGATAACACTTATCATATATCTCTATTGTGAGAATTAAGTAAAATGAGATAAGCAAACAGGACAGATGCATGGCAAATACTTGACAAGTGTCCCCACTTTTCACTTTCTCTCTACAAATGGCATACCTTAGATACCAGCCAAAGGTCACTGGCAAACCTGAAACTGAACTATGTCCCATCCCCCCAGCCATTCATTCGTGCATTTATTCATTTATTTAGCAGATATTTAGGGAAGGTTTAATCCTATGCCAGAATCTAAAGACCCAAATAGAGTGAGGGAGATAACAGGGAAAAGTCCCTGCCCTCCTGGATGTTAGAATGTAATTCCCAGCCTTTCTCATCTCTTTTGTGATTAGTGGAACTCAGAGTCTCAGGTGTTTCTGGGACTAGATCTCTGTTTCTTTTTTGTCCCCGCAAGATAAGGCAGCTGCTGAAACCACAAAAGTGAAGGACTGTGTTGATTCTGTGAGAAAACAAGGCCGTACTGCCCCACTTGAATCCTGCCTGTGGCAGAACCAGGACCAGCCAACCGCAGGCTGTCAGGGTGCCAGCTAAAGCAGTCTTTCCGGAATGTCTGCCTCGAGACAATGAGATTCTTTTAAGCCTGGGCACCAGTAGCTAATTGGGATGTTTTTCAAACAAACTCTGTTGAATGATAAAGCAGCACTTCAAAACAGTTGTCCTGGGAAAAATGGGTATGCAGTGTAAACAGGAGCTAACACACACAGAGCAAGGGCTTGCCCTGAGTTCAACGAACCCAGCTGGAGAGCAGATCGGCCCCTGATAATAGCCACACTCACATGCACTTGTAGCATGTCAGACCTCAAGATCAAAGCACTTTATGAATAGATAGTAAACCCACAGAAGAACTGAATCCCCTTTTGCTCAGTCCAACATTCTACATGGTTCTGTAGCTAAAAAGAATGGTTATGTTTTTCTCTGTGTGACATGGTGGATCCATGAAAATAGTTCCCATGGAAAACTTGGAAAATTTTGCATTCATTGTAAAGTCACAATCATCATGATGATAACAGAATTCTGCATTAAAACCATAGGTCTATCTCCGTTATCTCTTTTGAGACTCACAATAACCCTTTAAAGATAGGCAGACCAGGTATCATACCCAACTGAACAGAGAAGCATACTGGGGTTCAGAGAGGACAAGTGTCTTATATAAAGATGCACAGCTTTTAAGAAGGAAGTACGGTAAAAGAGGTATGAACAGTTCTGACACTGCTAAGACCAGGGTTCCTTTGCTGTCTGTGCTGTCCTCAAAGAAGATCTTTCTTTGCTCGTTGCAGAGTTTGGATCTACAGTACCTAAAAGTGGCATAGACTGGCATCTGAGCCTCTTGTACCATCTCTTTATCAGTGATTTTTTTTTTTTTACCTAAAAGAGTAATGCTCTGGTTTTGACGGCATTACTATAGGATTGTTCATAAGCTTGACATTTTTGTGTCAGTTTATAACATTGCAGAGCCAGAGAATGTTCACTTATTGATTTAAAAGGAGACAAGGAGTCTGGGGAAGAGAGATTGAAAGTGGTACACGGCTGTGGTCCAAAAACCAAGCCCTTGTCAGCGGGAGAAGAAAAGATGAGCCCGATTCTTCAGTCTGAGATTTCCGCTTTGAAACTTTTTCTCCCACTTCCTTCACTAGAAGAATACTTGTTTGTTTCTTTTTCTTGCTCATTGGCTGTCTTCCCACCTCCATTAGGAATACCAAATTATTGTAATGGTGCCATACCTGGCAATTGCAGGTACTCATTGAACATTTGCTGTGGTTGAATCCCAGTAAATCCCAGTAAATAAGTTACATAAAGAGAAAAAGGTCCTTGATGGCAGGAAAAACTTCTATAATGCGTCTGGCCAGTTTCAGGCTCAGAAGTCGGGGCACAGGATGCTGCGGGTCAAAGTATCCTGGCCATGAGATGCACCTGGGGTGTCGTACGTCATTCAATGCACACATTCGAGTCATGGTGACCCCTACTCTGTTGTACAATTGAGTGATCATGTCAAAAAGACCCAGTTTTTTTTGTTGTTGTTGTTATTTTTTGAGACAGAGTCTCGGTTTGTCACCCAGGCTAGAGTGAGTGCCGTGGCATCAGCCTAGCTCACAGCAACCTCAAACTCCTGGGCTCGAGCAATCCTGCTGCCTCAGCCTCCCGAGTAGCTGGGACTAGAGGCATGCGCCACCATGCCCAGCTAATTTTTTCTATATGTATTAGTTGGCCAATTAATTTCTTTCTATTTATAGTAGAGACTGGGTCTCCCTCTTGCTCAGGCTGGTTTTGAACTCCTGACCTCAAGCAATCCGTCCGTCTCGGCCTCCCAGAGTGCTAGGATTACAGGCACGAGCCACGCGCCCGGCCCGCCCCAGTTGTTTTTAAAGATGGTGAAAAGGCCAGGAGGCAAAATGGCAGCCCATGGAAGCCACCCAAGCAATACAAGATCAAGGGATGGATTTGTAAATAAGTGACTGAATGATTCACCTTCCACTGGAAAAAGATGTCAGCTTTTCAGAAAGCTCATTGTGGGACTGACATCTCAGAATCTTATCCTTAACCCTTTACACTTGCTTGTTTCTTTCTCGATTCCTTTAGGGGATTTAGTTTTTTAAATACCCCCGATTTTACAGTAGAATAAAAAACTTGAGTTTCTTTTCATACAAACTTATTTGGATTTATTTATATTTATATTTTTTTATATTTCAAATTATTGATACATTCAAAGAGTAATATTAATCTTTATAATTTTTGCTAACCGTGTTGAGTCACTCAACATCCGAGTGCAAAGGGTTAAAACAACTTTGGTTTACATACATCTTTTTGTAATTGTAACAGTCTTAAGCATGACAGGGGTTGAGGCATAGACTTAAGTGTCTGCAAGTAAGCGTTAGAATATTATGAGGAAACCACAGAAATGGCTGAGGAGGGACCAGCTTTGTACTGCTGGGACATTCCTCTCTAAGTCTGGGAAAAATCGAACACAACCAACATATGCCCATATTCTGACTGACTTGCATCCAATCTGAAAAGAAACATTTATGGGAGGCCAAGAGTACTGAGGACTTTTGCTAGGAAAGCCCCCGTTACCAATATTTTCAGAGTCTCCAAACACTTTGCACATGAAGGGTTAAGAGGAGACAAAGCTATCTTAGTCATGTTGGATATTAGAGATGTGAAAGTCTTTAGTTATCCACCCTAACACACACACACACACACAAACACACACACACACACCCCTCCCACCAGTATCTCTGCCTAGTGTGTATCTTAGTCCATTTTAGGGCTGCTGTAACAGAATACCTGAGACTGGGTAATTTATAACGACCAGTAATTTATTGGCTCACAGTTCTGACGGTTGGGAAGTCCAACATCAAAATGCCAACATCTGGCCAGGGCCTTCATGCTGCGTCATCACGTGGCAGAAGGCAAGATGGTGAGAGAGAGCACGAGAAACCCAAACTTGCCCTTTTATGCCACCTACAATTTATCGACTAGTTTTTCTTTTGTTATATGGCAAACATGAACATATGCCCTTAAAAATTCTGTAAAACCTTCCCTTTTAATATTTATATAATATTCAATATATTCATAATTAATGCAGCCTGATTCATTAGTGCTAAACATTTAGATCATATTTTATTTTTAACAATTATAAATAATACTGGATTAAATCTCTTTATACATAAATCTTGGACTAAAATATTGGTTATTTAGTTATAGATTCCCAAATATGAGAAAGTATTTTTCTATGATTTGATGCATCTTTTTCCTTGAAATGAAGACCCTTCCCCACCACTATCACCCCAGAATCATTTTTCTGCCTTATTTCTAAACCACAGAGTCAAGTTATTAATATTAATATTACAAATGTCTATATCTTAGGTGTGGGAAACAGAGTAGAAAGAGCTTGGGATTTGGAATCACAAAATCTAGATTCATGCACCAGTTTACTTCTCATTCACAGGGAATTCTGGCATGTGACCTGAGACCTTCGGCCTTTGTTTTCTCACCTGGAAAATGGAACATTAATAATAGTACCTCCCTTAGGAGATTGATGCAAGGATTAAATCAGATTAAACATGTGGAAAGGGCTTTGTAAAGCCATCATGTGTTCTAGCAAACGCCAGCTGCTGTTACCTTTAGACAGACTAACAGATTAGGCAGCTTCCAAAAAGCAAACAAAAGAGAGAAAACAGATTTTTGTTGACCTGCATTTTGGTAAAATAAAACCTAAACCTTTTGTTTAAAAAACTTTTAAAGAGTTTTAAAGCCTTTGGGGTAAATAACAACTGTCAAAAAAAACATTTCCCAAATTGACCAATAATTGGTGTCATCCTGAAGATTTTGAAAGCTTTTGCTCAAATGCTGAACTAACTTATCCAAACATCTCCATTCAGAGGCAAGTCAGAGAGCCAGTGAAGCCAGCCCACCTCCACCCAGTGGTGGAGAATCATAGCAGCCAGAGCTTAGTCCCTCCTCCCTCGGGGCTGGACAATTAGGCCAGACTGTGACCTGCCCATGCTCTTTACAAAGGGACATTTATTGGTGAAGAAGGATGCTGCAGAGGAGGCCAGACAGCAGGGAGAGGAGAAGCAAAGAGAGAAAGGTGGTATAGCCTCCATCAGGGCAGAGAAGATTTATTTAGGACAGACAGAGAAGTGAGAGCCTGGGAAGGTGCTCACTACCAGGTCTATGAAGAGACAACTTGACTAAGCAGAATTATTCAGTGCAGGGATCATACTGCCGTGGAGTAAAAAGAGAGAAAAGCCATCATTTTATGGTGCAAGCAGAGACAAGGGTTAGAAATTTTAGGAGTTGACTCAGAAATCCTAGGAGTTGAATGACAATGAAGCTCGAAGAAAAGTGTGGGCAAAACGGGAGCCTTGTGAGAAGGAGTCAGCCACACCTGGGTGAGGAGCATCAGGAATGCGGGAAAGCTGTGGCAAGTGCAGGTGCTGAGGACCATGTGAAGCAGGAGGCAAATGGGAAGCAGGGAGTTCCCAGGAAAAGCCTCAACACGTACACCTGGCGGGAGATCCAGAGACACAACCAGGAGGCTGACCAGTGGCTGGTCATCAACCGCAAGGTTTACAATGTCACTGGCTGGGCAGACAGGCATCCAGGTGGGCGCCGGGTCCTCACCCATTATGCCGGGGAAGATGCCACGGTAAGAAACTCTCTCTCTTTCTTTCCCTCCACCCCAAGCTGCTGAATGGCTGAGATCTTGGCTGCCTTCCCAAATGCATTCAAGTACGTGTTCAGGCTCCACGATCACTCATCTCCTCCCAAACCGATTTTTCAGGATTCCTATCTAGCAAGAATTTGGAAGCAAATTGAGCCTCATGGTCTGGCTATTAGCTGCACCCAGTTTGGGATGAACTCAGACACTGACAATAAATACTGTATTTGTGTATTCTGGGTTTAGTTTTATAGTTAGTGTTTTGTTTTGCTTTGTTTGTAAGTGGAGTCACTGTCTTATAAGAAGAAAGATACATAGAGGTGAGTAAAATCTGGGGGAAAAAACGAACATCAGCACCCAAGTAGAAATTTCTAAAACTCTTACAATTGCAGTGTCTAAAACAAAGAAAGCAATCCATCTAGTGGGTATCAAAATGTTGTAAATAATGATGAAAGCCTACAATTATCTAGGCTTTGAGAGCTTTAAGAGTTCTTTGCCTCCTGCAGCTCACTCAGTGTCATACATGTGATACAACCCACTTTTATGGACACATTCAAATGCATCACCTTGCTGAGACCCACCCATAAGGACGCTGACCATTATTCCTTCTCATATTACAAGTGAGAAAATTAGTGTTCAAGGAGATAAATAATGTGTCACACAGCCAGCAAGTGATAGTGCCACCTTTTGAAATCAGGTTGGATTGGCCACAAATCTCTATATATTTGGATTCTTAAAAAATAAAATTTTCACTGAATATTTGATAAGGATATCTCCCAAAATCTTAAGTGCATTTAAATATTTAAATTATAAATGTTATCTTTCATATTGTACAGATGAAGAAACCAAGAGCTAGAGGAACCAAACAACTAACCCAAGGTCAAAAAATTAATATATGACAGAACAGAAATTTAAACCCGAGTTATTGCTTTTCTTTTTTTATTTTGTTGCTCTTGTTGGTTTCACAGTTTACCATATAACTTCTCCAACTGGTTTCAAAACATAGGATTGAAAACATCCCTTCACTAAGCACCAGTTGGTAAATGGTACTTTACTACTAATAAGAAGATTTGCAAATACCTGGTTAATTTGTAAAGCATGAAAGACTTTTTTTTTTACTCTATGAGCATCTTTTTTTCTTCAATCTTCAATTTTTCCCCCAGTTTCAAATCCCCCTTTTCTGCTTAGGCTCTTGTTCTTCTATCATCTTCCTGTCTTGATTCTACAGTCAGGTGAATGCAATTCTGAACAAACCCAGCTGCATCCCTACCACCCCTCTCAGATCTGATATTAAAAAAAAAAAAAAAGTTCAACCTTTTCTTAGGAAATGTGCATGAGCTTGTAGCAAGGAATTTCAACACAATACATAGAAACAGAGAGGAGAGAGTACAAGAATCAAGGTGAAGAGCATTAGTGTGAAAGTAGCAGGAGAAAAATTAATGAAAAGAAAATGAGTGTTCCTATCTCTACGCATCCACGCCAATATTTATTGTTTTGGGACTTTTTCATAAAGGCCATTCTCTCTGGAGATAAATGATATCCCATTGTGGTTTTGCTTTGCATTTCCCTGATGATTAGAGATGTCGAGCATTTTTTCATATGTTTATTGGCCATTAATCAACCTTCTTTTGAAAAGTTTCTGTTCATGTCCTTTGCCCAGTTTTTGATAGGGTTGTCTGATTTTTCCTTGCTGATTTTCCTGAATACTATATAGATTCTAATTATCAGTTCCTTATCGGATGTGTAACCTGTGAATATTTTCTCCCATTCTGTAGGTTGTCTGTTTGCTATCATGATAGTTTCCTTGGCTGTGCAGAAGCTTTTTGATTTGATCAGGTCCCATTTATTTATTTTTGTTGTGGCTGTGATTTCCTTTGGGGTCTTCTTCATAAATTCTTTGCCTAGGCCAATGTCTAGAAGAGTTTTTCCAACATTTTCTTCTAGAATTCTTACAGTTTCACACCTTAGGTTTAAGTCCGTTATCCACCGAGAGCTGATTTTTGTGAGAGGTGAAAGGTGGGGATCCTGTTTTGGTCTTTTACATGTGGCTATCCAGTTTTTCCAGCACCATTTATTGAATAAGGATTCTTTTCCCCAATGTATGTTTTTGTCTACTTTGTCAAATATTAGATGGCTGTATGAGGATGGTTTTATATCTGGGTTTTCAATTCTGTTCCATTGGTCTATGTCTCTGTTTTTATGCCAATCTCATGCTATTTTAGTTATTATAGCCTTATAATATAGCTTGAATTCTGGTAAATTTATGCCTCCCAATTTGTTCTTTTTGCTTAAGATTGCTTTTGCTATATGGGGTCTTCTCTGGTTCCATACAAGGCAAAGAATTATTTTTTCTAGATCTGTGAAAAATCATTTCAGTATTTTAACAGCAATTACATTTGAATCTATAGATCACTTCGGGTAGTATAGACATTTTAACAATGTTGATTCTGCTGACCCATGAGCATTATATGGTTTTCCACCTTTTTATGTCTTCTGCTATTGCCTTCCTCGGTGTTTTGTAGTTCTCCCTGTAGAGGTCTTTTACCTCGTTAGTTAAATATACTCTTAGGTATTTCATTTTATTTGTTGCTGTTGTAAAGGGTACTGAGTCTTTGATTTGGTTCTCAGTTTGACTGTTGTTGGCATATAGGAATGCTATGGATTTCTGTACATTGATTTTTGCAACCTGAAACTTTGCTGAATTTGTTTATCAATTCCAGTAGTCTCATGGCAAAAACTTTGGGGTTTTCTAGATATAAGACCATATCATCAGCAAAGAAAGATAGTTTGACCTCTTCTGCTCTCAGCCCTTAATTTCCTTCTCTTGTCTGATTGCTCTGGCTAGGACTTCCAGCACGTCTGGTTCCAGTTCAAAGTGGGAATACTTTCAATTTTTCTCCATTCAGTATGACATTGGCTGCAGATTTGGTGTACCATTGGTTAGTACCATTTTTAGGTAACTCCCATCTTTGCCTATTTTGTTAAGCATTCTTATCATAAAAAGGCATTGAATTTTGTTGAATGCTTTTTCTGCATCTATTGAGAGGATTATGGTCTTTGTTTTTGCTTCTATTTATGTGTTGAATTACATTTATAAATTTGCATATGTTGAACCATCCCTGCATCTCTGGGATGAATCCCACTTGGTTGTGATGGATTATTTTTTTGATAAGCACCTAAATTCAGTTTGCTAGGATTTTCTTCAGAATGTTTGCATCTATAGTGATAAAGGATATTGGTCTGTGGTTTTCTTTTTTTTATTGCATCCTTTCCTGGTTTTGATATCAGGGTGATATTGATTTCATAAAATGTGTTGGAGAGGCTTCCTTCCTTCTCGATGTTGTGGAATATTTTCTGCAGAATAGGCACCAGTTCTTTTTTTTTTAGCAGTAACATTCATTGGGTGTTGGGCAGTTGGAAGGGTGGAAAAGGGGATGGGTATGTACACACATAATGGGTGTGGTGAGCACCATCTGGGGATGGACACACTTGAAGCTCTTACTTAGGTGGGGCAAAGGCAATATATGTAACCTAAACATTTACACCCCAGTAATATGCTGGAATAAAAAAAATTAAAAATAAAAATAAATGAAAATACAGCAGACTCTTAGCTATCCATCTCCTTAGTTCAACTCAGAGAAAATGAGGCTTTTCAGGTACGAGTCACAGAATCATCTCAGAGGTCATGCTGGTGAGGACATTGGTCTGCAACCACCTCAGAAATATTTAGGTTGGTGCAAAAGTAATTGTGGTTTTAGACTGTGAATTTTACATCATTATTATTGGGTTCAAACACATCTTTATTAATCAAAATAGGAAATATTACCATCTACATATTTTTGCCAACAAGAAATAAGTTTGTTTATTCGTATAGTGTAAAAATCCATACTTCAGGATACAACAAACACTTGGAAAGCATTTTATGCATCCTGCTGGTTGTGGAAGCATTTTCCCTGTAAAAAGTTGTCGAGATGCTTGAAAAAGTGGTCGTCGGTTGGCGAGAAGTCAGGTGAATATGGCAGAGGAGGCAAAATTTCGTAGCCCAGTTCGTTCAAGCTTTGAAGTGGTGGTTGTGTGACGTGCAGTCAGGCCTTGTCATGAAAAATAATTGCACCCTTTCTGTTGACCAATGCCGGTTGCAGGTGTTGAAGTTTTCGGTGCATCTTGTCGATTTGCTGAGCATATTTCTCAGATGTAATGGTTTCACCTGGATTCAGAAAGCTGTAGTGGATCAGACAGGCAGGAGACCACCAAACAGTGATCATGACTTTTTTTGGTGCAAGTTTGGTTTTGGGAAGTGCTTTGGAGCTTCTTCTCAGTCCAACCACTGAGCTGGTCATCACTGGTTTTTGTATTAAATCCATTTTTCATCACATATCACAATCCGACCAAGAAATAGTTCATTGTTGTAGTATACAATAAGAGAAGACGACACGTCAAAACAACAATTTTTTCCCATTTTTTAAAATTTCAGCATATTATGGGGGTACATATGTTAAGGTTACGTATATTGCCCATGCCCCCATCCCCCCTCGAGTCAGAGCTTCAAGCGTGGCCATCCCCCAAACGTTGCACATCTCACTCATTATGTTTGTATATACCCATCTCCTCCTCCCCCCAACCCTCCCGACACCTGATAAATGTTACTCCTATATGTCCACTTAGGTATTGATCCATTAATACCAATTTGCTGGTGAGTACATGTGGTGCTTGTTTTTCCATTCTTGAGGTACTTCACTTAGTAGAATGGGTTCCAGCTCTATCCAGGAAAATACAAGAGGTGCTATATCACCATTGTTTCTTATAGCTAAATAGTACTCTATGGTATACATATACCACATTTTATTAATCCACTCATGTATTGATGGGCACCTGGGTTGTTTCTACATCTTTGCGATTGTGAACTGTGCTGCTATAAATATTCAAGTACACATCCAATAAAGGGCTGATAACTAGAATTTATTTAGAACTCAGGAAAATCAGCAAGG